CTATTTCAATCACCGTTCCATCTTCGTTTTCACCTATGAAAACGTATCCCTTTGATTGTTCAGAGTACCTTATGAAGATACATTTCTTTCCTCTAGGACCCAACTTCCCATGCTTATGAGAAGCGTCATGGATATACGCCGCTGACCCCCAGGGTCTCAAGATGCTTAGATCTGGTTTGCGTTTTGTCCATAACTTGTAGGTGTGGAAGCGACTGATTTTGAGGGCACACGGTTAAGTATGAAGGTTGCCATTAACAAAGCATCACCCCAATACGAAATTGGCAGGTTTGGTTGAACCATCATTGACCTAACCATATCTAGAAGAGTTCTGTTTCTTCTTTCAACAACTCCATTTTGTTGTGGAGTGCCAGGGATAGTCAGTTGTCTGATTATCCCTTTTCCTTCACAGAGCTGTTTGCATTGATCAGATAAATATTCACGACCTCGATCAGTTCGTAATGCCTTAATTTTATTGTCCATTTGATTCTCTACCTCATTTATGTATCGTCTAAAGCACTCAAGTGCTTCAGACTTATGCGAGATCAAATAGACATGACCATATCGTGAAAAATCATCAATGAAGGTAATAAAATACCAAGCTCCGTGTCTCGCCCTCACACTCATTGGACCGTAGATATCAGAATGGATTAAATGCAATGGATTTTCAGCTCTTTTTCCCTTACCGAAAGGCTTTCTCGTTGCCTTACCAGCTAGACAATTCTCACATAGTGACATTTCCATATTGGGAATGGCACCTAACAATCCTTCTTTTGCTAGTTTAATCATTCTATTTTGATTAATGTGTCCTAGTCTAGCATGCAAGGTGTTTATGTTAACATTATTTGAACAAATAGCAAAGCATTCATTACTATTGAAATCACCAACAATATCCAAAACAAAGAACTTCTTAAACAGGAAAGCTGAACCATAAAGAACAGAGTTGCTAAAAATGTCTGCAACTTTGCCATGAAAGTTTACATCAAACCCAAATTCTAGCAGACATAATACAGAAACCAAGTTCTGCTGGATGTCAGGAGCGTAAAGTACATCATGGAGTATCAAGGTCTTCCCACCACGCAAAGTAAATTTGCAGGTGCCCAAACCTTTAACCTCGATCCTCGCGTTGTTCCCAACGTAAAGCCACTTGCTTTGATACGGCAACCGACGGTACTCTATAAAGGATCCTCGATCCCTGGTTACTTGGTCTGTGGAGCCTGAGTCTATAATCCAAGAAGAAGAAACAGGTTCTGTTAGAAAAATAGTACTAGAAACATATGAAACATGTGAATTCACATAATCCACTAATACCTTTTTGCTCTCAGCCTGTTTTGAACAGTCACGTGCGAAATGGCCCATCCTCTGGCAGGCGAAGTATTTGACCTTCTTCAGGTCTAGCTTCTTCCCACCTTTCTTTCCCTTCTTCTTGAATTGCTTCTTTCCCTTTTTGGGTTGAGGACCACCCTTCTTCCCTTTCTTTTGAAACTTCTTGCCCTTCTTGGAATCAGGCTTTGATTGGGAAGTACCGGCATCCTCAGTGTAATAAGCTTGTCCAGAGGTCTTGTAAGCCTCTAAACGTTCATCCACCAGCTCTAAGTGTTTGGCTACATCGTTAAAAGTAACGATGTTTTAATTATGGGTCAGGTTGACTTTCATGTACTCCCAGCTAGCAGGAAGCAATCTGATAACAGCCTGCACTTGCTGTTCATCAGACAGGACATGGCCTGCTTCCTTAAGTTCTCTGATCATGTTGGCCATCTCTCTCAGATGCTGTTTCATAGGATTGTTTGGCTTGAGCTTGTAGGTGTCGAACTTAATCGTCAACCTTCTAAGTTTAGTGGTAGAAGTACCACCAAACTTGTCTTTCAACGCTATCCACATAGCCTGTGCAGTTTTGTGCCTTTCAAACTCGCACATGATGTCATCAGCCATGGCACTCAGAAGCGTAATTCTTGCTATGCTGTTTTTCTTCTTCCAAACTAGGTAAGCCTCTTGGTCTTTCCTATGTTGGGCTGTATTCCCAACTTCAAGTTCGACCATTACAGTGGTTAAAGGTTCAACCGCATCTTGTTCCTCCAAGATGTATTGAACCTTTCGGTGCCATATGTCCCAATTATTCCCGTTGAGCTTTTCTCCCTTATTAAGCTCAGCAATTATGTTCTTGGTTGCCATTTTCAATTCTGTGACAAATTTATCCCACATTATTCTACGTTTTCTCTAAAAGAGAGACGTACCATAGAACATCTCAGTTATATATAGCACAGTGAAGTATACAATGTTTTGTACTTATACCATCCTTGATCAGAAAGTAATGATACTGTAAGATCCATGATCAAGAGCATACGTTTGTACCTCCCATCACACAAATACAAGCAACAATCATTATGTCCTATCAAGGATTTTATATGAGCACTTCAAAAAATTGTGACTCTTAGAAGTCTTATCTTCTAAAAGCTCCCACTTATAAAAAGCATACACATATTATTCACAAGATAATCATATAACAACAATTCAAGTAATTTCATTAAATGAAATAACATACTTAGTCTGTTTACAATGCATGAAACCATAAAAAACTTAATACAACAAATATTAATAAAGCATATGTAAATATTACATTATTTGATATGCACATAAAGGTAATCAAGCATTGCTTTCCTTAGGCTCCTAAGTTTGCGTGTTTTGTTCATAAAGGAGGATACTAGCTCTATGGCCCAAATCCAGTAAGACTTTCTTATGAGTTTGCCTTTAGGTCCGCCTCTAACTCTTATTGCTCTTATGTACTCCATTATGACTTTAAGGTAGAATTCTGTATTCTTCTTATCGGTCATGTATTGGATGTAATTGGCGAGCATGCCATTGATTCCTTTTATATTTGTCAGTTTTGCTGCATCTCTCTCAGCTACAATCATAGCTAATGCAGGGGTCAAAGGTTGGTTCACCTCTTCTCCTTCCTCAACTTCAATTTCATTAGGGAGATCCAGTAAATCTTTATAGACTAATTGAGGTTCGATAGGGAGGGACTCAGTGCGGAACATAGTTTTGGGTCTTCTTGAGGAACCTCTTCAGGGTCCTCCTCAGGATCCTCATCCTCAGGTTCATATTCTGGAATTCCATCACCTAGGAATGAGTATTCCAATGAACCATGATCGGTATTTTCAGTACTACTAGAAGCCTCTTGCTCCATTTTCACCTAGAACAAAATAATATAAATTATTTTGAATATTCTGGAATCTTTATCCACATAAAAACACCAGAAAATGCACTAAAATACTCATAAATGGATCTTAAATTGCCTCTAAAATTATCAAATTATATATCAAAATGAAGACCTTGATTTTAGGGATTTTTAGAGACAAATTGCACTTCAAACAGACCTCCCACACGCCTACACGCACCCAAGAAGCAGAAAATCCTTGAAATTTTTTTTGGTGCCCACTTGCCTAGACGGTGCATGTTGTACACGCGCCGCCATTCGGATGGCCGGCGGCGACACGCGCCAAGCCGTCGACGTCCACGCACCACCCCATTTCAAATGGGGTGGCCCACGTGTCAGACAAGTGAGCCACGTGGCCTCACGTGCCACGTGGTAGTATTTAATTTTTTTTTAAATTTAATTCCTTTTTTTTGTTTTTTTTTTGCTTTGGTCTGGGCTGGATCCTGCCTCCAGCCCAGTACATTCCTTTTTTTTTTTGTCTGGGCTAGATCCTACGTCCAGCCCAGTATATGTTTTTTTTTATTGTCATGCAAAAACGGCGTCGTTTGGGGGGGGCTGGAGGTTGTGTTCAACCTCCAGCCAGGTCTAACCGACCCGGTTCCTTCGCAGGTCGGGTCCGTCGGACTTGAAAATTCTTTCCACCATATCTCCTTCATCCGACGTCCGTTCTTCGCGTTCTTGGTGTCATTTTCTTCATTTTTCCAAGCTCTACGCAATGGGATAACTTTTGAAGTCTAAAAACTTCATTTTCCAGACACCCAAAAATGAAAACTTTAACGGCTCAAAAATGAACTCTACTGGTTATGAGTTTCATGCTTCCAAACCTACATTTTTACCGTTTTCCAAATGTTTTTAATTGATTTCGGTCATCTCCCATGCAGACTACTATCATATAATAGTTGGAGACGACAAAAAAAATTTGTAACATCCGACGGTCATGGAAGCAAAGGAAAACTATAAATAACACACAATCATCATAGACAACTATCATACTGAATATAAAACAGGATTTGCATAATATTTGAGAGCAAATCTGAAGAAGTGCCAAACCGTAAGGCACACAGGGGGGAAAAAACGAAAACATAGAATTGCATAAAGAAATGAACAACGGAAGAAATAACATTGGCTTGATGCCAATGATGGTGTTCGGGCATACCTGAAGTGTCGAATAATCTCAGATTCAGATAGCCACGTGCAGAAGTCCGATCACGGTAATGGAGTCGGAATTGATGTTCACAGCAAATGCACCTTTTGGAGAGTGAGAAGAGAGAACGCAGGAGGAAAGAAAGCAAGTCGGTAAATTCAGTTTCTCAAACAGATTTTGTAACTAAAAAACAAAACTTCCACCCCCATCTGTCCTTATCCATAATTTGAAGAAAAATTACAAATCACCATTTGAGACCCACAGGTTATATTATTCGCACTAGAACCCCAAAGTTAATGAGCTTGGACCCAATCCACAAAGGGTGGACTGGCCCATTTTCTATACAATTATTTTCAAATATTTTCTTATATTTCCTTCTTAAAGGAAACTGCAACTATTTTACAAATACACAACACACAAGGGTCACGCCTTTTATGTGTGTGTGTGTATTGATAATGCAAACATAACCCATGATTTTTACCTGCTTGGATAGAAAGTTGTTTAAATTTTGTGTTGCAAAACGTAAGTTTCATCAATCTACTAGTCTATCTTCGAAGCAATTAACAAGAGAAACAATTACAATAAGCCAACAAATGATTATGATTGTCAGCTTGGTTCATTTTTCTCCCATAACCATTTCACATTATTCTTTCTCCTTCCATTGGTGTGTGCCTTGGAAGCATCGTGCACTTGTTGCCTTTGTGAAGTTGAGCATATAGCTTGGACCAGTGCGGTTCCTCATATTTATGCACAATGATGTAAAGCTAAAACAAGAAACACAACAAGGGACATTCCTATATGTACAAAAGCATGCCCAGTGACTAAACTTTACAACATGACATCTAATTAAAAAGCATATGCTGACACAAGACCTAGAGAAATCATAGCGATGATATGTTCCACATCACAGTCAACTATGACACATCACACAGAAACTGGGTGGGTGAGAGGAAACAAAGAATTTTTTTTTTTTTTTTTTTTTTGGGGGGGGGGGGAATGATAGACTCTACCTTTGTGAGAGCCTCAAGTTAGAAGCAAGACCCACTATTCCCACTTCATTTCTGTCTTCATTTGATCCTAAAGTTCCGAATGGGATTTCCCTTTTCAAACTGGGCATCAAGAATAAGACTTGATGAGACCCAAGTTATAAAGGAATTTCTCGGAGCTTGATCGAAAGAGATTACCCAAAGAGGATAATCTGCTGCTCTCCTGGGACGGAGATCTTGACGAGCACACTTCATCTTTGATACGCAGTATGGTTAGCCCAATCTCGTTTCGAACTGCCTCTACTGTTTCACTCCTAACAGCATTTCCCGACACATCAGTCACATAAAATACATTCATGGCTTGGCGTCCGCTTGTTGTTACTTCAGCCCTACTCACTGAAAGTCCGTTTTCTCTAAATATGCGAGTCACATCTGACAGTAGCCCAAGCCTGTCTTCCCCACAAAGCTCCAGCTGTATACCCTGTACCAATCACCATAAAATGTAAATAAAAGGTCAAGAAATTGATAGCCACATTCCAATTCAAACAACCATGTGTTGGTACCTCAGAATTTCGTCTCCTAATCGCAGCCTCCAAGCAGTGTATTACTCTTTGCCTCTCTGCTTCAGAACTAATAGGGCAACCATCCATATGCCTTATATAATATTCCTGTAAACCAATAGAAATCAGATTCTCAATCAAAGTATCTGATTTCTGGGTCAAGGATCCAAACAGTACTGATAAAATATTAAGCTGAATTTCTGCTGCATTCAAGCATTGAGGGAAAACAATGAAACCTGATATGCCTCTGGTCCTTCAGCAAGGACGGTTCCATGGTAAACCGCATATTGCATGTCCGTGAGAGTGCAGACTGTATCAAAAAGTAACTTGGGTCGGTCTGGACACCTTAAATTCACTACAGTGTATCTCTTATCTGCACAATCATCAACAGTCACAAGCGTTTTGCTTCTGTCACTAGATGTTGTAGCTGATCCACAGTCTGCTTCACTTTTGTCATAGTCACGATCAGCATACATCATTTGATGAAGCCTACGTTCCTTATGTGTGGAACCAACGGAAACAGCAGTGTTGGCAGTCCGCTTGTCACTGTCACCTTTCAGCACATACAGTAGAAGCTGTTTAATCTTAACAACCCGATCAGCGTTGTCAATGGGCAACCCAGTTTCCTCGTCACTGATGTAGACAACTGATGCCATTCTAGAATTGTGGGTCCACACTTCTGCTGCTACCACATTGCATTTCAGGTCCGCAAGAACTGCAAATACCTCTGAAAGTAATCCTGGCCTGTCTCGTCCACTCAATTCAATCGTTGTGTGCTCTGCTGCAGCTTGCACCCCAACCGACCTTCTCAACGACCGGAAACTATGCCCTCTTGGACCAAGTGACTGTAAAATCCCAAAAATAAAATAAAATACAATAAAATGAAGTTTAATATGACTTGGATAATTCACAAAGAATGACCTAAGAGTATAGGTGCAGATAAAGATTTGAACATAAATTACTGCTTCTGCTTTTGTCTGCTATGATTCTTTTTCAATGTAGTTGTTGATTAAACACAGGAGTTTCTTTGTTGGAATTATATGCAGACCAAGCAATCAATTATTTTGGTTCTGTTATTTCTTTTTAAAGAATCTATGAAGTTTGAATCCCAGACTGGTATCATGGTACTTCCATTTTCCCCCGTTTCTTTATATATTGCACTCAAAAGGCACTACCCAAAGTGTATGGAAGATATTTAAGATCATGAATTGAATGAAACAAAATTCAAGATGTGTTAAAATTCAGAACATGTGCCTTGGGATACCAGAGGAATCTATAAGCGAACCATAAATTAGGTTCTGCCATCGAAAAGAAGGACAATTAGGTTCATTCTTAGACAACTAATGCGAAGGTAAATTTAGGAAATAGGGTAGACTAATAGAAATATAAACAGGTATGTTTCTTAGAAAAAATTTCAAAATAAATATGCCTTAAAGAGTAATTCAGACTAGTTTCACAGATCTACCTGTTGAATGCGCTCAGCTACATCGTCTTCAAGAAGCTTATTCCCATTTCGATCCGTAACATGAAAAACTGAGCAAAAACACATAAAGGAACAAGATAAATGAAAAGAAACAAAATTAATGATCCAAAATGTCACTGTAATTTCATAAAATTAAAAGCCAAAGCCTACCATCCATGAACCATTCTCCGTCCGAAGAAATGTAAGCCCGTCGTATGATAAGATTCATATCAGTAAGAACCTGAACAACCTCAAGCAAGCTCCCACGCCTATTCGCGCTATCGACCTGCAAACTTCCAGAACAGGGTTAGGAAGCGACGCACTGCAATGGGAAACAGAAAATCCAAGAAAGCCAATAAAAGAATGAAAATACCTTAATTAAAGTAGTGGTGGAGCTGGAAGTGTTATCAACAGAAACCCTGGTCGCTCAAAGAAATTGATACATGAGACAGAAAGAAAAGAAAAGCGATGATGAGAGAGTGTGTGAAAGTGAAGAAAAATTGAACGAACATGGGAGGATTCATGCGAATGACGAGCTTCTCGAATTCCTCATCGACCTGCAGGGAAGACGACCAACAATCCATTTTGAGGCAAGAGGCGAGACGCAAGAAACGAAGGGAGAGGAGTGAAGCGAGTATGATATCGTTATCCTAATCATACTCCCAAACGGAATCACGTTTCGTTTGCTTTTCTTTATCAACTGATTAATTAATAATTAATTTTTTTTTGGTAGAGTGATTAATTAATAATTAATTATTCATTAATTAATACTCATTCCAATCCTATTATAAGCTTTAAATTTAAGAAGAGGAGGGAAGAAGAGAGAAGGGAGAGAAGTGTAATTCATTTTATAAATTTTAATTTGAATTTATTTCAACATTTTTTTATTTTATTTTTAATTATCTATTCTTTTTTATTACGTTCTTTTAATACATTTTCTTTTATTTTTTAGTAATAATAACGATATATTTAAAAACAAAAATATATATTTTTAATTAATTTTAATTGTTTTTTGCTATACACAAATTAGTTATTTAAAATTTATAATAAGAACTAAATGGAGTATTCACACAAAAAGAAGTATGAAAACACTACCCTTAATTATGGAAATTTCCAAATGAAAACCACAATGATGTAATTATTATTAAAGAATGACTTTAATATATAAAATGACAACAATTACGATAATAATGATTAGTTTTGCAATAACACTTTACCAAGTAACCATTTTTTGGCCAAATAAAAAAGTAGCAATGTTAACTTACCAAATAACAATGATTAAAGTAGTTATGACTAATTTCATTGATAACAATTAGATTCAAAAGCTTAATTGATTTGAAAGGACGTACGGACCGGTTAAATTCAAGTACCAAATGGATGATCGAGGTAGGACCTTAAGAGAACTTGTCTCTCACAATCCTAGCTATGAAGACACTATAAGATTAATCACTCCCTTGATACTATCGAGTATTCTCATTAGAATACAAGGATGCAAACAAGGCTTACACAAGAGAAATAAAATTCTCCATATTATTAATTATTTAAGGGTTAAGGTGCAATTTTAACAACAAAGTTTTTCCGAAAAAACACTGGGCACCATAAAGTTTATTTGGGTGCAAAAATATACATGAAGTTGTCAAAAGGGAGCATCTGGCACCATGCCGTTAATGTCCGTCAGTTTACCGTTAGAGGGGCCCAAAAAGTCAGTTTTAAGGTGCATTTTTAACAACAAAGTTTGCATCAAGGGGCATTAGGCACCATGAAATTTATTTGGGTGTAAAAATATACATGAACTTTGTAAAAGGAAAAAAATAACAAAATTCTTCAACCTCCATAAACATCCATTAATTTTATTCTTTTTGGTCTCACCAAATGCTATATTTTCTCTCTGTAAATTTTCACTTCCAAGCCGATCCATCTTTCTCTCATCATAGTCAACACGCACACTCTCTCTGTCATGTTGTTTTCTGAGCCTCCAAGCCTTTTATATGTATTTAAGCAAAACACATCTTTCCTTCTAGGATATGAGGTTCATTACTTGCACCCGAGTACTACCTCCAGTCCTTAATATAGGATCCAATGGACTAATTTGAGGAGATTAAAATAAATAAATAAATTACTTTAAATATTATATTATTTATTTATTTGATGCAATAGCATATAGTACATGATCTCTCTAAAATATTTATATGCATCATTAAATTATATATTAGTTTACAAGCCAAAAAAATTAATTTGGAGAAAAAACAATAAATATAATATTTTAAAGTAATTTATTTATTTATTTTTAATCTCCTCAAATTAATCCATTGCATCCTATATTAAGGATTGGAGGTAGTACTTGGATGCAAGCAATCAACCTCATATCCTAGAAGGAAAAGATGTGTTTTGCTTAAATACATATAAAAGGCTTGGAGGCTCAGAAAACAACATGACAGAGAGAGTGTGCGTGTTGACTATGATGAGAGAAAGATGGATCGGCTTGGAAGTGAAAATTTACAGAGAGAAAATATAGCATTTGGTAAGACCAAAAAGAATAAAATTAATGGATGTTTATGGAGGTTGAAGAATTTTGTTATTTTTTTCCTTTTACAAAGTTCATGTATACTTTTACACCCAAATAAATTTCATGGTGCCTAATGCCCCTTGATGCAAACTTTGTTGTTAAAAATGCACCTTAAAACTGACTTTCTGGGCCCCTCTAACGGTAAACTGACGGACATTAACGGCATGGTGCCAGATGCTCCCTTTTGACAACTTCATGTATATTTTTGCACCCAAATAAACTTTATGGTGCCCAGTGCTCTTTCGGGAAAACTTTGTTGTTAAAATTGCACCTTAACCCATCATTTAAATCATCTCTTCCCTTAAAAAGAGTACATATTGAATTATTTATAAACTAAAAGTCTTGAAAGCCATAAAATCAAAACCCTAATTGATAACCTCAGCCCTAGAAGCCCATTATAAACTATTAGAGCCTAAAACACTGATGAAATAAAATGCATAAAAAGTAGATACGAAAATACAACAGAAATAGGAAAATTAGAAGACCTTATAGAATACTCTAACTTGCTAGTTAAGATTGAATAATTTAGACCACGCACTACCTAAGAGGATCCCATCATTAATGATAAGGATCTTAGTTGATTCTACTAATTAATGAAACACATATTAGGTAAGTCTTTGCCTTCAAAAAGTAATCAATACATAATAATAAACTGTAAAACAGGAAACTAACTAAAACAAACAGAATCCTATTTAATGTCATATAAGATCACTCTTGATGCTTCTTGAGTCTTCTTGAACTTTTCAGATGGATCTTCATAATTGCTATTCATGTCCATAAGCATCTACATGCTTTTTAGACATCCATTTAGGCTTAAATATGTTAAATCACGTTCTGAAACTCTCATGGTTCATAACACAATGCATTTGGGTCCCTATTTAAAAGATTATAACTCCAATGGACTCCTTTAGGCACATATAATTGTGTTAGGCTTTTAATAACATAGGAGTTGACTTCAAATGCTCCTTTTGGGCTCTTAAAACATGCTCTTGTCTTCCTCAAGGTCCAAGTGTTCATACTCCAATGACTCATATGCCATGGTAGCCTTCAGGGTGGCCTTCCATATGTCACGTTAAGCTCCACATGTATCCATGTCATCATCCAACTAATGATCTATGTCCTCCTCCATATAAGTATTCTCGAGTTATAAATTCTTTGAATACTCTAGAAGGCTTGTAGGGCCTCTAACTAAATGAGTGCTATTTGAACTTCACGACCTTCATGTTGAATGCCTCCTGGTATACTATCATTCCCTCCTTCTTTGAAAAGATTCATCCTCGAATCTTGACCTGGATCAAAAGGGAAGAAATTAGAATTTGCAAAATTAATTTGAAAACAATGCTTACCAAGTGAAGGAATCATGCAAGTTATGTTATGGGTCCAGGCAAGATCTTGAGAGGGGTCTTGATTCTTTAAAATTATTTGAGGAGATTCTAATTGAGGAAGCTATTGAAACTTGCTTTCAGTTAGAAATATTTTCTTTCTTACATGCACCCAAATATAAATGACAATTTGAATATCTTGTGCACCTATAACATAACTTATAGCAATAGCTAATCCACATAATAGGAAAGCCTCTTAACTACAACATGCATATGATAAGAATACCTATGAACAACAAAATTCATGTAATAATTAAAATCCAATGTGTGAAGTTCACGGTATCTTAAAGACAACAAGTCATTAGGAATAACAAAATTTAGGTCATCAAAATGTTTTTCAATATTGCTTGAATGAAATAAGAATCTATTGGTGTTTCTTTAGGAATTAAATCTGTCACACCTCCTTTATTACCTTATTACATAACAATCAAAACCCTTTAAGATCAATACACAAGCCTTAAGTATGGAAAAAATTCACATATGAAATTTTCAATTTTCAGTTTACTATTCACTATTCACAGTATTCTTGGCCAACTTTGGAAATTTATAACTGAATGTAGAAAAATCAAAACTGAGTGGTTCTAATTTCTATTTGAAGCTTGTTATGCATTCTATAAGAGAAAAATACTCATTGGCCTCATATCCATCTGAAATAGAGCCATAAAATTTGACAAATTACACTGTTCATATGGTCAATTTTCAAATTTTTAGTATTTTAGCCCAACTTTGGAAGGGCATATCTCTTAGTATAAAACTCTAATTTTAGTGATCTACTACTTATTTTAGGGCTAAAAATGAGATCTAGAAGTCTGCCAAATTTCAAGTTCAAATTCATCCATTTGTTCATTATTGTATGTGACACAAGATTGTCTCTTTTTAGGGCATTTTTATCTCTTAACCAAAACTTATTAAATTTTTCTTTTCTTTTTCCATTTGCCACCTGCTCCAACAACCCAACCATGATTATAAACCATCATACAACATTATAATTTACATAATATCAAAGTATTCAAGATCCATAATTCATTACAAACTTATAGTAAAGCTCAACAAAATACAACATAACTTGATACATTGTCACAAGGTTTCCATGACCTCTCTAGCTCAACACCAATTCTTTGCCCTTATCCATACTTGGTCCACTCCCTATCGATACATAATTTAACATAGGAGAGAATGAGATTTCATAAAATCTCAGTAGCAATGAACTATAATTATCATTTAAATCAAGCAAGGCATAATGTGACATGTTATAAAATTTCAAGACATCCTTAAGTTACATAAAATTATATTTTGCATCATGCCAAAAGAGGAACATCAACACTTTCACATTAACATGTTTCTATGCATTTGGCCAAAGCACAATCAAAGGTCATCAAATTAACAATTACCACAACATAAGTTCTTCAATTCAAGCAATCAACATAATCACATTAAACAAGCAAGATAAATAATCAAATTATAATTCAATGCTACCTCTTAGCCCTTGTATAATTCGGTCTCCTTAAGGGAATATGATTTTCCTTGTTTCCTCTCCTCAAAGCCTATTAATCCAAACATAAATACAAGCTACATTAACAATTATTCAACTTGAACACAACATTGAATCTTAAACTCTC